CTTCCGCCAACTCATCTCACGACATCTGCCGCTGTGCCGTTGCAGGGCTAAATTTAACATTAGCTTGGACAACAAAGACGGCAAAGGAGGAAAGCACTCTCGCCGCCATCTGCGCCACGCAGCTTCATTTTTTTTCACGTGACGTCAATTTGCATCCTCACGTCAACTCCTTCACTCCACAGTGTCTTTTTTTTTTTTTGCCGCAGCCCGCAGTCTCCTCTCGGATCAAAATTGTTGGATTGAATGAGTGCCCTGGTACGGGTGAATGAAGCACCATCGCATAACAGATTGCTAAATGTTTTAGCATTGATACATCATCGAGGAAGGTGATTGGATGACGCCGACCCGCCGTCTCTTGACCAATAACATTTGGGCACCGTTAAATTTCAGTGAAATAGTTCCAATGTCCTGGATCACGTTTCGCCGCGAAACGGTTTACCATTGTGACATCATCCAGAGAGATGACTGGATAGCAGCCACTCGTCTCTTGACCAATCACGTCTGCGTCCCTTCAATTTCAAAAGAACCCAGGGAGCGATTAGCACCCCAAGCGACGCGCAAAGCCAGTCGGCGGGCAAGAAAATCATTATGTGCCCGTTTGAAGTTCAGTCAGGTGTGAATCATCTTTATGCCTCCTTTTATATATCCGCGTCAAACGCACACGCTCGCACGCACGCGCGCGCACTCCTCAAACAAGAGCCAAACGCTTTGAACCGACTGGTGCTTCGTCTACACAGGAAGCTTAACCTCACATACGCACACACTCAAGCGTGCATCAAGGGCGGGCTGGGGAATTGAACTCGGAATTAGCATTTTGTCTCTTTTACAAGCGCAGGCTCATAAAAGGCCTCGGCTCTTGGGTGTTCTCCCCCCCCCCCATCTCGCTTGAAGACGTGCTCGTATCTTGGAGATTTTGAGACGCGTTGGGTCGCCCTTAGCGATACGAGCTAACGGCGCTAACGAGGTGCGGCGCTAATTAACACGTCAGACTGGCCAAAGTGGGACGCAGGGACACCCGGAGGCCTTGTTGTGTGTGTGTGTGCTCAGTTTAAATTGAGACGGGGCCCTGCTGTTGTCCTGCTAGCTCGTGTTTTTTTTTTTTTTTTTTTTTTTTTACATGACATATTTAAGCTAGTTATGAAACTGATGCATACCAATATGGAGCACTTTTTGTGTGTGTCTACAGCACATTTGGGAATTTAAATGCTTGTTGGGGAATATTAGCCCAAGCTTGGAGTTAGCCACAGTAATATTTGACGACATAAAAACTAAAAGCGAAACCGTAAATGCGGAGGGAACGGGAACAGCTAATCTGCTCATTAGCTCGCATGCTACATTTGCATCGTTTTGGTCAAATGCTTTGTCATAACAAATTATACTTCCTGTTTTGTGGCTATCATGGCACCATTTCTTCAGGTGTTTTATTTTCATTTTTTTTTTCTCTCATAAACGAAGTTTGTTTTCGCCGCCAGGTACGTGTCGGGGAGGTGGGCGGCAACACGCTCGGCTTCTACGGCTGCCAGATGAGTCCGAATGCTTGCGTGATCCTGGCTCACGCGTTTCACGGTGCGCTCCACATGTGGAGGAAGGACGCCGGCTCGGTACGTACCCGTGCCCTCCCCCGTTGTCAATCCTGCAAGTATTCAAGTATTCTAGTTTTTTTTTTTTACAACTATATTTTGTAACAGTAATTTTGATACTTTTTGCCATAGTTTGATTCGACCACAGATATAATTTTTACCACAGATTTTTTTATATATTTTTTTTTATTGCAATGCTATTTTGAATAGTTTTTACCACTGCTGTAATTATTATTTATTTATTTTTTACCAAATGCTATTTTTTCAATATATTTTTTGGACATCTGCTACTTTTCAATACTTTTTACTTAATATACACATTTTTGTAAACATACTTTTCAACCATTACAAGTCATTTTGCATACGGCGCAGCTCGCTCACCGTCACATTTTCAGAGATGGTCCGAAAACTAAAGTTGGTCTCGGTTGTTGAACTTCTCACTCGGATGGACGGGCAGAAGCTGCCGACACAAATTTGGAGCACAAACGTTCAAAAGACCCATTTTGCATCATACGTCACCTTGAACGTGCCTTGGCAGGGTGAGTGGAGGCCCGGCGTGGCGCTGTCTGGCCACTTCAACGCGGTCCAGGACCTGAGCTGGGACCCCGAAGGCGAGTTCGTCATCAGCGTGAGCTCGGACCAGACCACCCGCCTCTTCATGCCGTGGAGGACCGAGCCGGCGGGCCGGCCGCGTCCCACTTGGCACGAGGTGGCGCGGCCGCAGATCCACGGCTACGACATGCAGTGCCTGGCCGCGCTGGGCCGCTTCCGCTTCGTGTCGGGCGCCGACGAAAAGGTCCTGCGTGTTTTCCAGGCGCCGCGCAATTTCGTGGAGAACTTTGCCAACATTTCCGGGATGTCCAGGGAGGAGCTGCTGGCGTCAGGCGTGAGGATCTCATCGCGCTCTCTCAAGAATATACCGTCTTGGACTAGGCAGGCCGGACTTATCCATGTTCCCCTCTCGGCAGGACTGCGCCCAACTTCCCGAAGGCGCCAGCACGCCGGCACTGGGATTGTCCAACAAGGCCGTCTTTCAAGGTCCACTTTCAAGGCCACGGTGTCATTTGTCTCATTTCTGCTCAGGTCCGCCTAAGCATCTTCGGTTCGATTGACAGGTGACCCTGCGGCATCAAGCAAAGGCGGCGAGAAGTTCAGCGGCGTCTCCGACCAATACCAGGAGTCTTACTTCCACCCCATCAACATGACTGGTCCGCGACTCGCCTCCTCATAGACGCCAACAGATCATGACAAGATAACACGAAACTTCTCACGCCGCTACTACTGCCACCACGTGTACTTTTTTTGCTACTAATAGCGCTGTTACTCAAGATTATCGTCATATTCATGCAAGATTAGCGCTAAATTAGCATTACTACTATTAATAATAATTCTCGTGGTACTGGACACCCCCCCACCAAATAAATAGATAAATAAATCGATCAATGACTAGTCCGACTCAAGTCAACTGATGCACTTTTGCGCTTGTGAACGTTTGTGTTCTTGTTTCCAGAACCTCCACCGGAAGATCATCTGCTACAGAACACACTTTGGCCCGAGGTCCAAAAACTGTGAGTCTCCCAACTTTTTATTTTGCAACTAAAGTTTCTCGGTACTTCCTGGAAGGAAAAGGCTTCCAATCGCACACGTTTAGCAGCGCAAAGCCGTCAAGTGACACTCGGCGCCGAACCTACAAGTCATGTGACGCCAAGTCGAAGCCTTGCAGCCCATCGATTGGTTAATATAGCAGACAGCCAAACCTTGCGCGTGTGTGTATCGTCCGCGTGCTTTTTGTTCCCTTTTCCCCTGAAAATGTCACGTCCGTTGAGACGGACCACGTAGCACATTTTACACGGCCGCCGAATGGACCCAGAAGCTATAAAAAAAAAAAAAAAAATGAACATTCTCTCGGGCGACATAAAAATGACTGATGACTTTTCCTCTTTTTAAAGGTTTCCAATCCAACGAAATGGAATTGTTTGTTTTGCTTTGAGCCTCGAGGCTTAATTGCATGTGAAAATAATGCTCTTGCCATCAACTCCCCCAAGACACACACACACACACACACACACACACAGACACACATAGGTGAATGTATTGCATCCTATTGTTCACATATGTCAAAGTGCTGCTATTGTTAATTCCATTCACAAGTGGTTTTTCTATAAACGTGACATACGGTGGCAGTTTGTTGTCTCGCTTTAAGTTGAGTGCATCATTGAGCACGCAACGTAAACGGCGGCGTGACAAATTGTTACTTTCCCAGGTACGGCCACGGCTTCGAGATGTTCTGCCTGGCGTCCGACAGCGGAGGCACGGTGGTGGCGTCTGCGTGCAAGGTAACGTCGGCGTGCCCAATTTAGCGCTACGGCCAGACAAAGATGGCAAAAGTTAAGTTCAGAAGTTCAGATTCACCTGATTGACCAAATAAAGTTCAAATGTTCAAGTCGGAGTTTCATGACATTTTGGTCTATTTTTATTTTTATTTATTTATTTATTTATTTATTTTTAAAGCTCACAAATCTGACATTTGAAGGGGGGTTGTAGACTTTTTATGTATATTGTAAGTTAAAAACAAACAGCATCTGAAATGCACTGAGGTCGAAAGTCAAAAGGAGTTTTGGCTGTCAATTATATCTAATTATGTAAATTTGTTGAAGTGCAAAAAATGTTTTGTTTTTTTTAAATGGAGCAACTAAAGCAGTGTAATGCCATCACGTGTGGGCAAACAATTGCAATTCACTTTCAGCAGGTCAGCCAAACATAAATTCGAAAATGATGACACTTGCAAGGAACTAATACGGTGTACCACAACTCGCACCCAGACGCTCACATGCAAACTGGCCAATTCCAGCTCTTGATGTCACTCACTAGGTTACGCCCTTTAAAGGCACACGTTTACTTCTGTACGCACAGTAATAGCACTTTCGAAAACCAATTTCATTCATTCTTCATATTCTCTTCATAAACCGAGTTACAGGGAAGGAATCGCAAACGGTGTCCCCCCCCCGGTCCGGTAGTAGTACCTTTTGTGTTTTTTGTGGGCGGCAGGCGTCCAAGGCGGAGCACGCGTCGGTGCTGCTGTGGAGTGCCAGCACGTGGCGCCAGCTGCAGGCGCTACCGTGCCCCGCCCTCACCGTCACGCAGATGGCCTTCTCGCCTGACGCCGCCATGCTGCTGCCGGTCT